TAGAATGAATTTTTCGTTCGGTAGGGAATAGCTCAAAACAAGAGCATTGATCAAAGCCCTTTTCAACTTCTTGAATGAGTCTTGGCATTCCTCGGACCTCTGGAAATGGATCTGTCCTTTTGTGAGTCGGGTCAATGGTTTGGCGATGTTGGCAAATCCCAGCACATATCTGGGAACCATGGAAGCTCCGAAGCTGATGTATGTCTTTTGGAATGGGCCAATCCCTAACTGCTCTGATCTTTTGTTGGTCTACCGCCACTCCTTTCCAGAGAAAACGTGGCCAAGGTAACGGACTTCTTTCTAGAACAGATGTCATTTCTTGGGACTAAGTTTCAATCCAGAACTTCTCAGACGCATAAATATCTCCTCCAGATTTTTCAAGTGGTCGTCGAACGATTATCTAACCATTAGACACGTCTTTAATGAGACCCCTCTGAGACACGTCTCCATCAATCTCTCGAAGGTCGCTGGAGCATTACAAAGCCCGAATGGCATAATCGTGAACTGCCTTTTCTCGATTTTCTGGGGCCAATATCCACTCATCAAATCCAAAGTCAAGAAAATTGTGAAGCCGGCTAACGTTTCTAGGGTGTCATCAATTCTTGAAAGAGGTTAGCTGTCTTTCTTCGTCTCGTTATTAAGTTGGCGACAATCCACGCAAAACCTTGTGGAGCCGTCCTTCTTCTTCACTAATACGACTGAGGAAGACCAGGACTTATCAGAAGGTTCGATGACTCCTCTTTTTCCCATATCACTAACTATCCTGTCTGCTACTTCTTTCTTGGCAAGAGGGATTCTTCTAGCTAATTGCCGGATTGGTCGGGCATTCCCAGTGTCGATTTTGTGCTGAACCATATTCGTTCTGCCGCCTTTTCCTTCTCCAACATCGAAGATTTCCTGGAACTTCTTGACTAACTCCCTCAATTTGGATCGGTGAGTTGGTGATATGTCCTTGGAGGAAATGTCAATCAACTTCTTCAACTCTTCAGGCAAGTTGTTGGCTTGGCTAACCGAACTGCATACACTCTGTATCACAGAGGAAATGGGCGAACAGTACCCCAGCATTGTTCTTTTCTTCAAGGTCACGGGAAAGTAGTTGACATTCATGACCCTGACCGACACAACTTTATCAACACGCAACAAGGTATTCCCCAGTTTGATTCCTCGCCCAATTTTCTTATCGTGTATCTTTCGCTCGAACATTACCACCTTTCCGCTGCTCGCACTTTCGTCCAGGCGAGCCTCCAGGATGGTTTCAGCCCTCTCAGGACAGCACACTCGTCAGCCAACAGGACCCTGATTATCTCCTCGCTTCTTCCATGAAGCACCAGCTCTTCTCCGCCGACACGTAGTACACCGTCTTGAAAATTCAGCTCGAACCCTCTGGAGTTCATTATATCCATTCCAACGATCGCGTCGTCCTCAATGTCCACCACCAATGGTCGATAGTTCAATTTAGTGCTGCCTAACATCAATTCGATTGGTAGTTCTCCAAGTACAGTGGCTGGCAGCGCCCGATCTAGAAAGAGGCAAACCGGGCAATTGCCCGGGGCGGCACAAATGAGGAGCGACACAAATGAGGGGCGGCAAAAATAAGTTAAAATTATACCATCTATGAAATAACGTTTGGGTCAAAGGCGGCAAATATTATTTTGCCCGAAGCGGAGATATAGCTGGATCGGGCGCTGGTGGCTGGCTCCCCTGTTGCGGTGCATAGCTTTCAACTTGACAGTTCAATTATTGCCGGTGTTTTGGCAAAGGTTGGTTCAAGAATGGTTCTCGTCGCACCTGTATCTAGCATGGCTCGTTGTTGATGAGGCCGTCTACGAAAACACCTTTGTCTTGTCGTTGGAGAATAACAACATATGCATTTTTGCATATGTTTGGGATGAGCTAGTGTCAAGGCTTGCCAAACATGTCTGAACTGCTAACAGCTCCATTATATTTTTCATTGTAGCAGGATATGCCAGACGAACCAATCGAGCAATATCAGCTTCAAATTCCTATAGAGATTCTTCTGATTTCTGGCAGCGGTTCTTCAGCTGTGAATGGTAAACATGCTCTAGGTTGGCCGGCCCATACCGTAGCTCAAGATATAAGTTGGTCATAGTCTTCCTGTCCACCAGTGTTAATGCTACTGCCTTTTCTTCTGCATGCCATCCATTCGCTCTGGTCGCAGCTTCGAATTGTCGGCTTCTCCACGCAACGCCAGTGTTAATGCTACTGCCTTTTCTCCTGCATTCCATCCATTCGCTTTGGCCGCAGCTTCGAATTGTCGGCGATAATTTGACCAAGGAGTTTTTTCGTCGAACTGAGTTCGTCGTTCTTGGTTCAAAAATGCCTTTTGAAGTTCTTTCATGTTGAAACTCAGTTCCGGAATTGAGTTTTCAGTAACAGTTTCTGTGGTGTGGGCAGAATTAACGATTTGGTTCTGCAACTTGCTGATTTCTACCTCAAATCCACCTTTGATTTCCTCCACTTCCGTGTTCATTTCCTTCCTGATTTTATCTGTCTCTGTCTCGATGATTCCTATCCTTTCTTCGAGTAGACT